TTAAAAGTCTACAATCTGTGACTTAAAATAGTCCAACTCGCAGCAAAATAGCCAACTTTAGACTGATAAGGCTTAAAAAGTAAACATTTTTAATGGCTGAAATATATGTATTACTGTTGAATATATAGCAATAAACATAATTATGTAGTTTATTTCCTCTTAATACTTTCAATAGCTTTATATTTCAGCAAATAAAATGGCGTTTTCGCCACGAGTTTAACAGACAATAAATGTCATAATATTGCAAATTATAGTGTTTTTTATGATTTTTTATGGGATTTTAACATCAGATTAGTTAAACTATACTAGTAAATGATTTGAAAACCACATTTGGAGAGCTTAGAACTGTACAGTTTATTCAGAAAATGGAAAAAATCTATTGCGACAAAGACATTTCAAACAACAATACAGGCTTATTCTTTTATTTATTTCTCTATAAAAGTAAATTATGACTTTATTTTTGTATATTTCACTGCTTAAGCACCTATTACATGGTATGTAGTGAAGTCTAAGTAATTTAAATGAACAGTTTATCGAAAATTCAAGTATTACCAGTGGTTGCAAATCGGCAAGTAAAACGTAAGAGTCATAGCCTAATCTTGACTTTTTAGTCTTTTTAACCAATTTCATAATCATTTAATGATGAATTAGACTGTAGAATATAATAAAATTACCCATTAAAGGCTTAATACCAGGGAAATAAGCTCATAAAACCACTAAATGTGGAATTACAGCCATAATATCAAGTGAATAAGCCCATAATATCAAGAAAAAATCTCTAAAAAATCACTAAAATCACTAAAAAATCGCTAAAATCACAAAAAACCAATCAATCGATTAATAATTAATCAACCAATCTAAATTAACAACCGAAACAAACTTCTCCTCCCTAGAGTGGATGTGCTGTCCATCCACACACTACTAGATGGGGTTGTGGCTTCAAGTGGTTGATCGGTCGAGTTTACCGTTTGTTATTGGTTTTATCTAATTAATAGATAGGCTGATTACTGATTAATAGATTGACTGATAAGATATGGTACTAAACCTATTTAAAAGATGCTAGATTGATTGTTTTTTTCTGTTAAAACTACCAAAAAGACGATGAGTTTCCCTTTATTCCTAACATGCCTACTGTAATAATGTACCGTATAGTATTATTATCTCAAGTATAATCAAAATAACTCTAGTTTAACCTAGTGCCATGTTTAATAAATAAGTGAAATCAGTCTCTTATACCTTTGTCTAGCATAAAGAAGTTTTAGCTGCAAAAAGAAATTTGTCTTATTAGTGATTGATTGTCTGATTGATGATTGAAATAACCGGATTTCTGTGAGTATAGTTTGGGTTTATTCTGATTTTAGATTTGAATGATGATAATAGAAAGAAATAATCTGCTGAACAAAATACTAATATCCTTTAGGAAGAAGCATTGGTCATTGTTTGATATTAGTGCTAAAGAAACCCATATTACTATGTATTTTGACAGACTTTCTTAGTACAGTGGGAAACTGTATAACTGCAAATCCTAAATACATATTTTATTTTGGTGACAGTTGTTTAATGTTTGTTTTACACTATCAAAAAGGTTTCTTTTAGTATAAATTCATAAAGTGTAAAATCCAGCAGTAGAACCATGTACTGCGTTGTATTTCTGAAATGCTTCCTACTAAACAAGAAAAGGCTATGCAGACAGTCATAATTTACAAAGATTGCCCTTTGCTATGTGACAGTTATTTATCATTCTATAAACTACATGACAATACCATCATTTAAAAGTTTAAATGGTGCAAATTGGGCAATAAATGGCAAAGTTATTACCATAATAAAATATTCCTACAAAACTGGCCAATTCTTTTGAAAATCATACATTTCTTGAAATAAAAAGTTATTTAAACCCAATAATGGCAGTTTTGCCATAAAACACCCTTGGTTTAGATAACTTAAATGTATTTGACAAGATTTAGAGCAATTATAAGGTGTATTTCTTGAAAAATGTTGTTTAACAGTACCAGCGATTCATTTCAGACTATAATCTGGTGTATCGAATTTGATCTCAAAATAGCCCAAATTGTTTTTTTGAGTTTTAAATGAGATTTTTTTAAACTAAATAATATTTAAGACTAGGCTATTCAACATTTGGCCCAATAAAAGTCCTTTTCCAAAGAATAATCCTCATTTAATGTAAGTTGTAGCTAGTTTCACGCGTAATATTTCCGCAACACCTTTTAGAGAAATTTTTCACAAATATATAACCTATTACTTTTTGAGTAAACTTTCCTGACAATTTACATATAGTTATAAGAGGAATTAAAGGTTTACCTCAATTTAATTGCATATTTAGGGCTGAAAAATCCATTTGAAAAAAATTTCCTCTTTCAAGGAGATTACTGTTAACTTTTGCCATTTCTCATACAATGATGCAGTATATAGTGAATTATTATTATATTTCTTGGCGATTTATATATTTTAGTGACTCAACTGACCATTTTTAATGAATTTGACCTTTTTACTTTTGAAATACAGTCAATTGTAAATTTATAGTACAGGAAGTAGACAAGGTAGAAGGTAGTTTATGTCGATTGAAACAGAGGATTAAACACTAATAAATGACTTTGTTCAACTTTATTCATTTTGTAAAAGTAATATATTGTCTTAGTACAGTGTTTTTAATCTTAGAATGATGGGTACAAGCTTATGATGGACCCAATATTTTGTAAAATTTCAATCTCTTGACACTATACTATAAAAAGTCTTTCTTGTATCATAGTTTCTTCAAAAACTATTTGATTGTTGTAGACTAATAATTTAAACAGATAAATTTACTTACTTAAGTCCAATTAGTACCACAAATAACCAATCAATTACATGCAATAACAGTCCTGTTCTAGCTGATGCCAGATAACAGAGAAAACTCTAAAATCATGAAAGACCTCTAGGGCAACAGTTATCACTAATCAGTTAAGCAATCAATCGATAAAACCAATAATAAACTAATCAGTTAATCAATCAATCGATAAAACCAATAATAAACGGTAAATTCGCCCGATCAACCACCTAAGGCCACAACCCCATCTAGTAGTGTGTGGATGGACAGCACATCCACTCCGGAGAAGAAGTTTGTTTCGTTTAGATTGGTTGATTAATTATTAATCGATTGATTGGTTTTTTAGTGATTTTAGCGATTTTTTAGTGATTTTTAAGGCATTTTTTGTGATTTTCCACCTATCAGAATGGTCAAAAAGCGTTGGAAACTCAGTTTTTACAAGTTAAAGACTGTTGATTCATGGAATATTGGGATTTAATAGCTTTATAACCTTTTAATTAGGTTGAGGCTGTCTAATGTAACGTTAGATGATGCAAATTGTATGTTAAAAATAATATTTACGTGGTTTATAGGAAAAATAAACTCGTGGAAAACTTTAAATGTAAATATCTCGAAAACTAATAGTGATACAGAGATGGGATTTTCACTGAATTCAAGCTAATTTTTACCCACATTTTACTAACCTAATTAAATGCATGCGTCTTTAAGGGTTATTTAGTAATCGACCGCCCGCGTTTAAGTTACAACGGGTTGCGTTCTGCAAACGGCAGGCGATAGTCACGATAGCTTGTATAGTGAGAAGTATTCCAAAGGCTATAAATAATTTTCTATTGTATTTGTGGTCAAACAGGCTATATAAGCCTAGATTTATTAGTAAAATACCTAAAGGTACACATTTTCACTCTAAATTTGTGGTTAAATGACCAAAATATACGTATAATTAGCATTCAAACTACTCAGGTTTATGCTTTTTACAACATTAAAATGCTTTATTACCGATTTTGTTACTTACTAATTCTTGTTCTCACCATAATATTGTTAATAAACAATTCTTATACAGTTCAATACTTTAAAACCATACGTATTTACTGAAAACACGTATAGAAAATTCAATTTTCAATCGACTAAAACTCGAGGTTCAAGAGAGCTAATATATGGCATAAATAATGCATAATATTCAAGAGTCTTATTCTTATTCTTCTTATTCTTTTATTTATTTCTCTATAAAAGTAAATTATGACTTTATTTTTGTATATTTCACTGCTTAAGCACCTATTCATGGTATGTAGTGAAGTCTAAGTAATTTAAATGAACAGTTTATCGAAAATTCAAGTATTACCAGTGGTTGCAAATCGGCAAGTAAAACGTAAGAGTCATAGCCTAATCTTGACTTTTTAGTCTTTTTAACCAATTTCATAATCATTTAATGATGAATTAGACTGTAGAATATAATAAAATTACCCATTAAAGGCTTAATACCAGGGAAATAAGCTCATAAAACCACTAAATGTGGAATTACAGCCATAATATCAAGTGAATAAGCCCATAATATCAAGAAAAAATCTCTAAAAAATCACTAAAATCACTAAAATCACTAAAAACCAATCAATCGATTAATAATTAATCAACCAATCTAAACGAAACAAACGAAACAAACTTCTTCTCCGGAGTGGATGTGCTGTCCATCCACACACTACTAGATGGGGTTGTGGCTTCAAGTGGTTGATCGGTCGAATTTACCGCTTGTTATTGGTTTTATCTAATTGATAGATAGGCTGATTACTGATTAATAGATTGACTGATAAGATATGGTACTAAAACTATTTAAAAGATGCTGAGTTTCCCTTTGTTTTAAACCTTTGTTCCTAAGAAGTGTACTAAGATAAGGTTTATAATCTTAATCCAAGGTTATTTGTTCTACAAACTAAAGATAAATCATGAATACAGATAACTAGCAGCTATTTAAGTAGATGGAACATAAGTTCCGAATAGTGTTGAGTAATACGCAGAGTGTTATGTATAGAATTTCTTTAGTGAATAGGTTTTGGTTTTCCTAACATAATAATGTCACTTCACAAATCCGTACATTGTTTACATATAATGGCATTGTTACCAAGAGATTACGATCGTAGTGTTATTCCGGGTTACAGTGATACTGTTGATGGTATGCGTTTAGGATGTGGTTTTTCACTAAAAACATCGTCTGAGAAAACTTCTGCTTTGGAAGAAAAATCCAAGAAATCCAAGAAAATGAGGATTGACTGCTACTTCAAGAAAGAAGACATCTATACACCAACCCAATCTACATCATCAAGAAATGATACTTCATCAACATCACAACAGGATGAAATGGATTCCAGTGAAAAGGACTTCTATACACCATGGAAGATAGTTGTCCTACATAAAGGTACTACAAATGATCATTGGCATTTTTTATATATAGCTTCTCATCGAAAGTTTAAGACCAATTCCAAATTAGGTATTGATATTTCACATGTACAACATAAAATAAAGAATGTTGGTTGTATTCAATGTTTACAAAACTACCTTCATAGTGGAAATGGTAGAGAAGTCGTTACAGATTTTCTAACAGAAAAAGATAAATCATTAGTTTGTTGTAGTAAGCATAGTAAAAATAATCAATTTAGTTTTGAAGATTTTGATGAATGTGATAGTGATTTTGAAGGATCAACAAACAATGGAATTGTCATCACTAATGCTTACTTGATTGAGTTGTTTTTGAAAAATAAATGCTTTACCGAATCAACAGCAAAGATTTTGTTAACTGCTGAACCTAATGGACAAGAATTTTTGTTTAAAAAGTTTTCAAATGATAGAATCAAAATTGCTATTCAAACCAGTAAGATGATATCATTTGGGGAAACATCATTCCAGAGGTTACAAAGAGCCAAGCAATATTACGAAAAAATATCCAATGACATTAATTTTTCAGAGCAAATGGCCAAATTAATAAAATGGTTAGAAATGAATTCTATTGATGTTCATGAATTCGCTAACATAACCTACGACCATTTTCACAAAAAATCTGGTAAGAAAAATAATTTATTTTTTAAAGGACCACCGTCTACTGGTAAAAGCATGATAATTGAAAGCTTAATAAGTTGTCATTTCAATTATACCCGGTTGACAGGAATAAATGAAAATTCATCCTTCAATTTCTCTTCATTAGTACATTCTAATGCTTGTTTTATGGATGAAATAAAATTAACAGAGCCTTTATTTGAAGTATGGAAACTTCTAGCTGCAGGTCAGAACTTCTTAACTGATGTAAAATATCAAGAGAAGTGTGAGATTACAAATTGTGTATTATATACAGCTTCTAACTATGATATCGAATTATACTGCAAGGTTCCTTCAGCAAAAAATGCTATAAAAGCTAGAACCTATACTTACTATATTAAACAGCCATGTTCTGAATACTTTAATGTTGCTCCCCATACTTGGGAAATGTTTTGGAATACATATAAATAGTACTGTATAACAACTTATCATATTGTAAATTCCTACAAATAAATAAAAATATTGATCCATATTTTAATGTGTTATCTATTTCCTTTGTGTTTGAATGACAACTAGTGTTTTAATTCTATATTAGAGACTATGGTTTTATGACATATGCTCAAGAGTATTGACTATACAAGTATTTGTTATGCCTTTAGGTTATTATCACATATTAAAAGTTATACTTGTAGCTAAAATGTCTTTGACACAAACCAGGACAAAAGAACCTGATTACATGCCTAAATGGATCAATTAACAATATAAATGAACTAGGGCAACAGTTATCACTAATCACTTAATCAATCGATAAAACCAATAATAAACTAATCAGATAATCAATCAGATAAAACCAATAACAAACGGTAAACTCGACCGATCAACCACCTAAGGCCACAACCCCATCTAGTAGTGTGTGGATGGACAGCACATCCACTCTAGGGAGGAGAAGTTTGTTTCGTTTAGATTGGTTGATTAATTATTAATCGATTGATTGGTTTTTTAGTGATTTTAGTGATTTTAGTGATTTTTAAGGCATTTTTTGTGATTTTCCACCTATCAGAATGGTCAAAAAGCGTTGGAAACTCAGTTTTTACAAGTTAGAGACTGTTTATTTATAGAATATTGGGATTTAATAGCTTTATAACCTTTTAATTAGGTTGAGGCTTTCAAATATAACGTCAGATGATGCAAATTGTATGTTAAAAATAATATTTACGTGATTTAGAGGTAAAATAAACTCGTGGAAAGTTTTAAATGCAAATATCTCGAAAACTAATAGTGATACAGAGTTGGGATTTTCACTGAATTAAAGCTAATTTTTACCCACATTTTACTAACCTAATTAAATGCATGCGTCTTTAAGGGTTATTTAGTAATCGACCGCCCGCGTTTAAGTTACTACGCGTTGCGTTCCGCAAACGGCAGGCGATAGTCACGATAGTCTTAAAATGTGAGAAGTATTCCAAAGGCTATAAATCATTTTCTATTGTATTTGTGGTCAAAATCAAGCTATGTAAGCCTAGATTTATTAGTAAGGTACCTAAAAGTAAACATTTTAACTCTACATTTATGGTTAAATGACCAAAAAACACGTATAATTAGCATTCAAACTACTCAGGTTTATGCTTTTTACAACATTAAAATGCTTTATTACTGATTTTGTTACTTACTAATTCTTGTTTTCACCATAATATTGTTAATAAACAATCTTTATACAGTTCAATACTTTAAAACCATACCTTTTTACTGAAAACACGTATAATTTTATTTTTTACATGACAAAAACTCGAGGTTCAAGAGAGCTAATATATGGTATAAATAATGCATAATATTCAAGAGTCTATGTATGGTAAACTGTATGGTATTTGTAGTTTACTAATAAACTATTAAGCCAAAAAGTGTTTATGATATTAACCATACATATTAAAGTATGACAATAGATCTACAGCAGCGCGCGGTGACCTTGCGAAATTCCTTTGTCAGCGCATTCTATCGATGTTTGGGAAATACCGTAGCGATTTGGCAGGCAGTTGATGTAACACTATGTACACTTCAATTGAAACTTTTAATAATTAGTTTAATACAGATTATAGCCTCTGATGAATGTATAGATTAACAGGAAGACTAACTAAAGACCTATCTTCATTTAACCGAATACTACGATTGTTATTTGATTTTAAAGGGTCTTTATTAGGATTCTAACTGTTTTAAGCCAATTTTGAACTAACCAAAGTATAATATAGTACCTTTGAGAATCATTTTAGCCTAAAACAGTAAATATTATGTTAATATACACTTTAAAAGTCTACAATCTGTGACTTAAAATAGTCCAACTCGCAGCAAAATAGCCAACTTTAGACTGATAAGGCTTAAAAAGTAAACATTTTTAATGGCTGAAATATATGTATTACTGTTGAATATATAGCAATAAACATAATTATGTAGTTTATTTAATGTTAATCCTTTCAATAGCTTTATATTTCAGCAAATAAAATGGCGTTTTCGCCACGAGTTTAAAAGACGATAAATGTCATAATATTGCAAAATATAGTGTTTTTTGTGATTTTTTAAGGGATTTTAACATCAAATTAGTTAAACTATACTAGTAAATGATTTGAAAACCACATTTGGAGAGCTTAGAACTGTACAGTTTATTCAGAAAATGGAAAAAATCTATTGCGACAAAGACATTTCAAACAACAATACAGGCTTATTCTTTTATTTATTTCTCTATAAAAGTAAATTATGACTTTATTTTTGTATATTTCACTGCTTAAGCACCTATTACATGGTATGTAGTGAAGTCTAAGTAATTTAAATGAACAGTTTATCGAAAATTCAAGTATTACCAGTGGTTGCAAATCGGCAAGTAAAACGTAAGAGTCATAGCCTAATCTTGACTTTTTAGTCTTTTTAACCAATTTCATAATCATTTAATGATGAATTAGACTGTAGAATATAATAAAATTACCCATTAAAGGCTTAATACCAGGGAAATAAGCTCATAAAACCACTAAATGTGGAATTACAGCCATAATATCAAGTGAATAAGCCCATAATATCAAGAAAAAATCTCTAAAAAATCACTAAAATCACTAAAAAATCGCTAAAATCACAAAAAACCAATCAATCGATTAATAATTAATCAACCAATCTAAATTAACAAACTTCTCCTCCCTAGAGTGGATGTGCTGTCCATCCACACACTACTAGATGGGGTTGTGGCTTTAGGTGGTTGATCGGGCGAATTTACCGTTTATTATTGGTTTTATCGATTGATTATCTGATTAGTTTATTATTGGTTTTATCGATTGATTGCTTAACTGATTAGTGATAACTGTTGCCCTAGAGGTCTTTCATGATTTTAGAGTTATTTCTCTTATCTGGTATCAGCTAGAACAGGACTGTTATTGCAGGTAATTTATTGGTTATTTGTGGTACTAATTGGACTTAAGTTAGTACTTTATCAGTTTAAATTATTAGTCTACAACAATCAACTAGTTTGGGACATCTAATGGTTTCAAGGAATTGAAATTTAAGTGTTATTGGTTAGACAAATGAGTAGAAAGATTTTGGAAGCCTATTTACTTGTAAATGATGTTAATATATCTACATAATATAGTTCAATTGTCATTAGTTTTGATAAGTGTAAACAGTGTCTTTTTAAACATGTGTACAAAACTCAAGAATTACTGCAATGGAGACTACTCTAGTGAAAGCTTCATGCTAGTGTTATGCAAAATTCTTTTGTCATTGTCATGAGGTCTCAAGGTATTCAGTTTGTTAGATAGTATTTGAACCTGTTATCAGACTATACACTTGATACCACTATGATATCAAAACAAAACAATAGATTACACATTGAATGATACCATATAAGGGCCTCTATTGGCTGGGATTCCAGTAGTATTCAGCAGACATTGTGTGGTGAATCTGTAAGTTGTTATTTTATTTATTATGTCACAAAGTGAGGTTTTAGATAAATTGCGGAGCTGCAAATTGAAGATTCTTTCTGATCTAAAAACAAATTTCTCTAAAGTACAAAAGAATAAGTTTAATGATTTAGAATCATATTTATTTGAAATGGACAAGATAGCTCGTGGTTATAAGTTACGAGTGGTTACAAGTAATGTAATGAAAGGAAGACCATGCAATTATTTAGAGCTAAAAACAAGTAAGAATCAATATCTGAAGTTTTGTGAGGAAATCTTTACTAAAGTGCCCAAAGATGTTAAATTGGGAAATGACTGTCTTTATGCTAACACATATATTGGTTATATAATTGGTTCTAACATTCAAAAATTGAGTGAGAAACTCAATAATGAGTTAAAAAATGAGAAGCTTATTAATATACGTTGGCAACACTATAGTAATAATACAACTAAT